ATCCGTACGTCATGTTTTACTATCATATCCATACGTCGTGGGGAACTCTGTGCCACCACTTTCCAAAGAGGAAATTTACTCATGAATCCAATCCGTACGTTTTGCATAGCAGTCTGTAAAAATGATATTTTGAGAAATACTGAAAGTTTCATAGAGATCTTCGTACTAGAAGTATTTTAAAATGTGAAGAATACAACACTGGGGGTACAAAATGACCCCAGGGCGTACGGATAGGGTTAAAGAGTTATGTTAAAAAGTCCATGTGCACTTACACAAATTAGAGATTTTAAAGAATTCTGTTAAAAAGTAAATGTGCACTTACTTGACGTAGGTAAAGTCCATCTCTTCCTTCTCATAGAACATGAGGGAAGTGAAGTACGGGCCCTCCGAGTACTTGACCAACATCTTCAGGAACGCTCCTCTCTGGGAGAGAAACACACGCTGGTAAACTAAGTGACTAATGAGCTGTCCGTTATTTTGACGGGTAGCAGTATGTCAGAAAAAGAGGCATGCATTCTAAAAAGTGATGTAGTATCTTTGTAATGGGGTATAGATAATAACATTTAACAATGTATAAAGGTAAATGAAAAAATATGAAAATTAAAGTTTAATTACATTTGTTAATTTAGAAAAATGCCCAAATTCGGTACCCCCGAAACTGAGAATATACGCTCTTGGGACAGTGGGAGGTACAAGCGCTGCTGAAAATATATGCGCATGGGACTGGAAGGGTTAACTTGTTGAAATATTAAATCTTCAGATCGTAACATAGACCTTGGCGCTCATCATATTACCTTATGCAGCTGCGAGCGCCGTAAAACCTCTACTAAAACTGACACAGACCTACCTCAATCTCAGGAATACACCAGAACACAACGGATCCATCTCTAGGGAAAGAAAAGACATGATGAAGAACCATTAAAGATTATCAAAAAGTACCTCAAAGATACTAGTGAACATGATTTACGTGTGGATGTAGTTTTTGCTTTTACCTGTTAAACCCTCCAGATGTCTATGACCCATTTAACCTATCCGTACGTCGTGTTTTTCCATCGTATCCATATGACGTGGGGAACTCTGTGCCACCATTTTCCAAAAAGGAAATTTACCCGTTAATCCGATCCGTACGCTTTGCATAGCTGTCTGTCAAAATGATTTTTGGAGAAATACTGGAAGTTTCAAAGAGATCTTCTCTCTAGAAGTATTCTAAAATGTGAAGAATACAACCCCGGGGGTATAGAATGACCCCAGGACGTACGGATAAGGTTAATTAAATCCCTGAGTCAACTAGGGCAACTAGTCGCAACTTTGCTTGGAATTGAGTCCATTCCTCCAATTTTTTAAATCACTGATTCCGCCTGTTTCAGCACATGATAAGTATTAATTTTACCCTGAGGCCAAAGAAAGGGTGCAACAACGTTTGAATAAGCCACCAAATGAGGTTTACTGTTATCTTCACTACTCTTATTTAAAAAAAATTAGCACAAAAATGGACAGATAAAAATAATTAATGAGACATCGTGCCACGCATTAAGATAGAAAGAACAGTCTTTCGTTTAGTTGCATAACATTTATCATCGTGTTTATTATAACTAATCCCTGTTCCAAAACACGAGACACTATCAAAAAAAAA